TAAAAACCCTCTGCATCTTTACCAAGCGCAACTGAGAACATGGCCTTCATCCTTTTATACTTTTACATGAATACTCTTTAAACAAAAGGACATATTAATTGATACTGGTGCTTATACTATATGCATTGATCAGTTGAGCAACAACTGTACAACTGACATGGAAACTTGGCATTTAATGTTAATAGTGACGCCATACAAAATCGAACCTTGCTTATTCTATACAAACTGATAATAATAACAAAGATATGGGTGGAGAATGGACACATATTGATTTTGAATGGATGCAGGGTATTTGGACTTGATCCTGGACAGGGTGTGAAATATGAAATCAAAAAAACATCGGGAGAGAATACCTGATTTGAGAGATTTTGGTTTTAATTCCTCTTAAAAAAAATTTTTTTTTCGTTTTTCAGTAAAGAAAAAAAAGTAAATGCTCTAAATATTCAAAATTCATCGAATAAGGATGATGGTGGTGATGGGCGAGTTTATTCTAATTACTATATATGTAAAATCAATTCATTTTTTCTTAAATTTTTTTTTATCATCTGATTGGACGTTAGAAGTTACACGAAACGTTACACGCGCCAATAATTTGTACAAAATTCAAAATTAAAAAAAAAAAAAAAATTACCAAAAAAACAATTCCCGAGCAGGAAGGAACTAGCCTTAAAAAGCGAATAATTTTTTATTTATAAAAATTAGCTTGGGAATTTATTATTATTATAATCAAATCGCACGTCTACAATTCTCGAAAAATTTTGTATCACTTTATTTATTTATTATTAATCATTGTATATTTACGTTTTACAAAACAAACAAATAATAATAAATTTTCTAAAAATGTGATAATAAACAAGATACATAGCGATTAACAAAAAATAAATAAAAGGTTACGGGCAGCATTGAAGACCAGAAAATTTCTTTTTCAGAAAAATAAATTTTTTATTTTATCTATTTTTTAACGAATTAAATATTTTAAACTAATATTTTAATTATTATCTATCTAATATATACATACATATATTTATAATACTAAATAATAATAATAATAATAATAATAATAAATAATAATAATAATGTCTGCATCAAAACCACCAGTGACAGTTAATATACCAGCAGTAAAAGGCACTAGTGGTAAAATTTTAAATGCCATGGCTACTGCAACACCACAAATTACCGGAGAGTCTGTTCAAACGACATTAGAGGTATTAGATAAAGTTGGTGTAAAAGACAACATCGAAGAAGCAATTCGGAATATTGATAAAGATACTCCGGAACAAAGAGAAGAAGAGAAAAGAATTACCAGGCGCATTTATAGAGTTGAACTATTATTAAAAATTTTTAATTTATTATACCAGTTTAATTATCCAACGGCTGACTTTATTAGGACTTAGTAGTAGTTTTGGCAACTTCCTTTATAATGTATTTATTGGATCATTCGTTTTCACCGAATGGGATTTCAGAAATATTTCAACCGTTGGTAAGATTTCCGGAGTGACAATAAGTTTACAAATCATACTTTTTATAATTTCAAATACAGTTGTTTTATTTTATCGAAAATTTCACCCAAGCAAACAGTCACCTGCAGGATTACAAGGCCCAATTTATTATAATGGAATATTAAAAGTGTTCAATGTATTAAGGCCAAAAGTTGAATCTTATGATTCATCAGTCAAAAAATTGGACGCTCAATTTTCTCAAATTTTGGGCACCATTTCACAAATCCTGATCATTATCGCAGCTTCACTTTCCGCCAGTAGTAATATAACATCTCTTAATGGAACCTCCGACAGTGGTACTGTTACTTCCTTTCCAACTAGACTTGGAGGTTTTGTACAAATTGAGAATAATCAAGTTGAAGAACAATCAATAGCAGTAAAACATGCTTCTGATTTGCTAAAACCACCTTACTGGTAGCAGTTTCAGCTATAATTATGACATCTATAATGAATGTTATTAGTTGGGTGATAGGTATCTTAGAACTCGGAAAGAAAAATACCTTAACTAGTCCCAATGTTCAAACTCTTATCGACAATACAATTTCAGGTCCAAATAATGAAATCACTGAAGGAGCAAAACAACAACAACAACAACAACAACAAGAATCTTCAAGTAATAGAGTTGTTAGTCGAAACGTTTTGAGCTTTGTCGAAACGTTTCGTCATTCAACATTTAGGCATGTCGAAAGTCTAAAGTGATGTCTAAAGCCTAAAGCCTAAATTAATGTCAAAAGTCTAAATAATGTCAAAATGTCTAAATGTGTCAAAACGCTTTAAATTATACCCTTTTCAGGCATTTATTGACGGTGCAGTTCAATTATTTAAAATATTTAACAATATATTATTTTTATTTATTAAAAAAAATTTTATAAAATTAAAAAATTTAAACACAAATTTTATATGCTTCTTATTCATTCTGTAAACTTTGTAGAAATACTGCTCCAAATTCATCTTCATCAAATTCATCATATTCATTATTGCTATCTGTGTCATTATCATCATTTTCTTCATTTTCTTCACTATTTGAATCCTTATCTTCATTGCCAAATTCAGGATTAGTTAAATCCATTAAATCGTTTAACAATAATTGTTGATCTTCATATTCAATATTAGAATCATCAGGTAGACCAACAAATTCTTCTAAATCATCATTAATTTCAGCTACCAAAGCAGCTTCTTGAAAAACACCCAACGATTCTTCTTCTGTCAATCTACACCATAATATTGCAATTCTTGTTTTGCATTTGAAATCAAAAAACTATTTATTTTTACCATGGATTCTAAATATGATGATGTTAATTGAGTTCGACATTCTCCCTGAAACCACCCACAAAATGACCAAATACGTTCACAGCTAACAAGCATGTGGACGGACAGAAAGTAATTTAACTGCTAAAGTTGAAAGAACACCTGGATTATGTTTAGTTCCATCCCCACAAGTTTTCCACCAACATAAAAGAGTATCAATATTTGTTTCATTGTATGGTGGTGTTTCATTCAAGCATATTGACGCAATTGTGCTTTAAGTAAATCAAGTTTGGTTCTATTTTTACTTCTCATTTTTATCCATAAATGACCTGCAATACTAGCTATTCGAGCAAATTGAGATGATTTAATTCCAGCACCTAAATAATAATAAAATTTAAAAAATAAAATATAAAAATTATATATTTAAAACAAACCTCGGTACTGTGGATGCAAATAATATGCTAAGAGATATTCATCATAATCAAAAACTTTAAATCGATTATTGAATATTGTAACACATGAACAATGAAATATTAAATGCTGGTCTTGAGGAATTGATTTAATTGCAGCAGCTAATTTAACATATCCTAGATAACAATCTGCTAAATTTGTTGTTTAGCTTCAAGAGATATAATAGCTTTCTTAATTGGTTTAAGGACTTGAGCGAGATCAAAAACATCATTAAAGAATCCACGTGATTTTAATGATTTAAGATAATATACTGATGATGTGCATTCATAAACACTTGTCCAACGGGTTTTAACATAGCTCTTTAATCCAACACCTCGGATTCCTTTATCATTAATCAATTTTAATAACAAAGCATGTATTCGGTGTGATTTATTAAAAAAGTAACTACAATTGAACATTTTCGACGAATTTTATCTGCAAAATTGTGTTTTAAAATATCACCTGATATTAAATTCAAGCAATGTGAAACACTTCGCAAGTTTAATATATGTTGATATTGAGTAGTGATAAGTTGACGTGCAACTTCACAATTAGAGCCTCCATCTGTAATCACTGCACCCAATTTTTCTACACCAATTTCATCAAAAAATTGTTTGAATATGAAGTTTGTTCAACTTTAATATGAGTACAACTCTACCAATTATAATCAAAACGTGACTCAAAGAACGTTCCAAGATATTTTTAAGTCTAAGCAGATTTTTATAAAATTTCTTTCTTTGTTCATAGTACGTAGTTATTTCCTTCTTCTATTGTATTCTCATTGTAGTTATTTATGAATATCTATTAATGTTAATGTTAAATAGTATCTCTTCCAAAGCAGGAGTAATTACCAAACCTTTGAAGTTTATAGAAAACCTAATGGTTTTTTTTTACTTCATTTCGAGATAGATTTTCAAAATTTTTTGTATTTTACAATATTCTTTTAATTTTTAATAATTCAAAATGAAATTTACTTCTTTTAATGTTTCCGATTTCATTGAGCTTTAAGGGAAGAATTTATCCATTCTTACTTTTTAGAAATTTCTTTGCCCTTGCATATATAAATTTTTGAGACATTATTAATAGCTACTTTACTAAAGTTGGGTGGCAAATGGTGGGCTATTAATCTAATTGTTATTATTCTATTTTGTTTCCACGTGGAAATGAAAGGCGGCCCAATTATAGGATCAATTATCTTAATTTGGGGTTTTTTTAATTATTCTCGCAATATCTTTGTTGTTTCTTCTAAATAATATGATGATTCGAATTTGCCTTATTCATATATTTTTTTAAATATATATTAAATTGTTTCGTCCCATTCTATATCAATATAATAGATGATAATAATAAGAAATCAACATCTAATTTTTGGGAATTTATCTAATAGTCATTGATTAATTATTATTAATATAGAAGCAAAATTCATTCATTGCACTAATCATCATTCTCATTAGTGATGCTTTGACATATGGTATATAGATCACGTTATTTCTATATTTTCACCCGAACTGCTGGAAATTAGAGTTGTACGGCAAAGGTTTCGTTCTTTATAATTTGTAGTGTTAAAAATAGAGTTTTTTCGAAATATTACTATCAACTAGATGAATTGAAGGAATGAAGTCAATAACAAGAATAACAAGATAATAGTATGTCTTCTACATATACTATTTGTTCTGCCTATTCTTTGTGGAAGTTATATAAAAATGAAAAAGCTTGCTGTAATATAAGCTCTAATCATTAACCTTTTGCATCTTTAACATCAATTTATGATCTTCATCTTCGAACTGTTTTTTCCTTCTATATAATTCCCATTCAATTTCCCTATACTATTAATATAAAAATCCGTTGAAACGCGATTATATAGTAATTTCGTTTCAACGGATTTTAAACGAAATTTTCTTATATGTCCAGCCACTCCGTTGAAACGAGGGTGATACTGATTTCTTTATAATATCATTTTCAGAAAATCCACTGCTACCATCTATTAACCAGAGCATTATAATTAGACTTGTTAAACTGAAGTAAATGTTTTCTCACAAAAAAATTCTTGGTTTAAAAATCTTGATAAAACCAGCTTATAAAAATAAATTTAATAAAAAAACATCAGTTTATTGTGTACATTCATCTTATCAAGCTCTGACTGTATTGTTCATTTCATTATCAACTTTATATGATACTTGTCGTCTATTTTGTGGATTATAGATATAAATAAATCTCATACTTTGTGAATAAGCCTCCAATGTAAATGTTTTTATAAAATTAAAAATTATTAAATAGTGAAGAATCATAACAAAAAATCAATTCATTTATCCTATTGCAAATAACATATTTTTTCAAAGTTTGTATTTTTTAAACAATTTAGTTGATATTCCTTTTATTGATTGATGAACCAAAAAAATTAAATAAAAAATAAAATAAAATATAATACAAAATATACAATAAAAATCATCGTCAATCTTTTTCCTTTATTAGAAGTAAATAATAATCTTAATAGTAATAATAATGAATAGTAACTTCCAATTAATGAAATTTTTATTCACCCTATTAATATCAACATTTAGAAAAAAGAGTTAAAATCAAGATCATTTAATGAACTATCATAACTTGTATACCTTTTCAAGCTTTTTGATTTAGCAATCTCATTATCTAAGATTCTACTTGTGTGATATGCGTCTGGATGTGATTTGTGAACTACTTGTAAATTACTACTACTACTACCACCACTGCTGCTGCCATCATTATTAAAATCAGTTTCACATTCATCACCTGTAAAATATTTTTTATATTTATTTTTACTAAATTCATAAAGCTCTATACTAGTTGGTCTTTTTAATGCATCCACATCCCAACATTTCTTCATCATTTGTACATAATCATCAGGGATTCCAGGTAATATTGGTGGTCGTAAACCTTCACATATATCAAGAATTAAATGATGGTTGTGAGCTCTATCATCAAATGGTGGATGACCTGCAAATACTTCCCACATTAGCATCCCAACACTATAAATGTCAGATTCTTTGGTATTCTTTGTATTAATTTTGCCTCTAAGTAGCTCAGGTGAAATATATGGCATAATTCCATAAATTTTATTTGATAATTTTTCATCAGCTGGTCCACATAATCCTAAATCTGTAATATAACAACCATCTCCTTGCAATAGTATATTACCACTATGTAAATCACAATGGATTAAATCCATTATGTGTATATGATATAATGCAGTAAATAAATATGCAATGATTAAAATTCTTCTTTTCAATGTTAAGTTCAAATGATGTTTTTGCAAATAATCTCTTAAATTTCCTTTTGGATGATAATGTAAAACCATTGCATAATTTCCATTACCTGGGAATTTAGTTATACCATAGCAATTAACAATCAAGTGTGATTTAATTTTACAATAATTTATTGCCTGAAAATAAATGTAAAATCAATTAGTATTATATAATATAGCATTGTTTTTAAATGACAATTACCAACCTCATCAAAAAAGCCTTTTTTTGGATTACTTGAATTGTTTAAACTTTTTAATACTATTTCTTGCTTTCCTAAATAATTAAATTCCTTTTTATGGAGTGATAATCATAATCATGGAGAAGTAATGGAAATATCCTGGATTGTCATTTTTTACAGGGATAGCCACTCTCTAGCTCTCAATGCTTCGCTGATTCTCTATTAGGTTTCGCTCTAATATGTAGAGCCACTCCCCAATAACAATACCTCGCTTGCTAAATAATTCTTTCGTTAGGTTTCACTCTGATTTTATGCTTCTTAAAAATGTTCTAGACCTTCCTTTTAAGTTGTTTTAAAATTAATATTAATTTATTGGTTCGTTATGTTTATCGTGTAGCATTAATTACTTATTGTAGATCATTTCACGATCTATAAATAAAAGAAATTATTATTATTCGTTTTCTCCACACTATTCAATAGATATATTATAACCAAATTTGAATTTTATAAAACTTTATTTTTATATAATGTTTTATTGTATTAATAAAGTATTATCACCAGAAAGAGTAGAGTTGGTATTTAAAATTTATAATAAAGAGTGTTGTAGTGCTGCTGTTAATTCTGATATAGAAAGTAGAAAAGATTATTTTTTTTCATTAGTTGAAAAAAATGAGGAGCTTTCTGAAAATGAAAAAAAATATTGTATAGAAGAATTTATTTATAAATCTGAATTAGATAATGCAAAAAACAAAAAAGGAAAACCAAAAGAATGTAACAATTGTAAATTGACAAGGTACTCTGATAGATTCTGTGAAGGTTGCATCAGTTTACAATTACAAAGTCTTTTTACTACTTGGAAATCAGGAAATAATATAGTTGATAATTTTATTCAACAATGTCAAATGAATTCATCTTTGCCATATAATATTTTAGAATGGATACCTTTTGAACAATTTAAAAAAGTAACAAAGTTAACTGAAGGTGGATTTAGTTCAATTTA